ACGTTGTATATTTCTCTTTTTGAAATTTGAAAAGTGATTGGTTTTTCATATGGTGAATAATGAGGAAAAATCACATACTTTTACTTATATCTTTTTATGGTTTGAAGCTGGTGTGGTATAATGGTTATCATTAGATTGCTTATGCTTAAAGGAAGCTTTTGATATGCATTACATCTCTGTACGTTGTATATTTCTCTTTTTGAAATTTGAAAAGTGATTGGTTTTTCATATGGTGAATAATGAGGAAAAATCACATACTTTTACTTATATCTTTTTATGGTTTCAAGTTGGTGTGATATAATGCATATCATTAGATTGCTTATGCTGAAAGGAAGCTTTTGATATGCATTACATCTCTGTACGTTGTATATTTCTCTTTTTGAAATTTGAAAAGTGATTGGTTTTTCATATGGTGAATAATGAGGAAAAATCACATACTTTTACTTATATCTTTTTATGGTTTCAAGTTGGTGTGATATAATGCATATCATTAGATTGCTTATGCTGAAAGGAAGCTTTTGATATGCATTACATCTCTGTACGTTGTATATTTCTCTTTTTGAAATTTGAAAAGTGATTGGTTTTTCATATGGTGAATAATGAGGAAAAATCACATACTTTTACTTATATCTTTTTATGGTTTCAAGTTGGTGTGATATAATGCATATCATTAGATTGCTTATGCTGAAAGGAAGCTTTTGATATGCATTACATCTCTGTACATTGTATATTTGTCTTGCGAAAATTTCAGATCTGATCAGTTTTTGAAAGTTTGAATTTTGGGCAAAAATCACTTAGTTTTAGTAATATTTTTGTATGCATTGTCTTTGGTGGAATATGGTGCATACGAACAGATTCGCCTTGGTGAAAGGAAGCTTTTGATATGTATTACATGTTAAGACATGGTATATTTGACTTTGCATCAGTGTCAGTCAACAGTGGCAAACTGCATTTTGGAGAAGGAGGCGGCCATTTTGGATTTTATCGATGAAAGTATCAGCCGTTTTTTAGCGGTTTTGTTGCAAGTTAGTTTTTATATTTACGATTGAGTCGTGTTACTAAATTCGTTGGACTATGGAGAAGGTTTTGGTATGTGTTGCATGTCAGAGAAATGGGTATTTGGTTGTGTAAACCAGCAATAGAATTTGCGAAATCCATTGATGCAAATCGCGCGGTTTTTATATTTCGGTTGATTACAGAGATGAATGACGGGTTTTTTCTGGGAAAAATTTTGATATTCACGAGCGTTATTGGTCCGTTTTACACATACGTCAATAAAATTTGCGTATTTACGCGTTTAAGGGACAAAAACACTACATTTTAATGAAAAATTTCAATATTTTCGAGCTTGAAACAATTAAAGGATCAAAATCTTTAATTTTCGACCAATGAAAATGGCGCAAATTCAACCAATGAAAATCACATGTTTTTAGCCAATTGTATGTCTGAATTTGCTCAATTTTTAACCAATAGCGTGGAGGCCTTGAAAATCTTTATAAGGAGCGCGAATTTTGAATGTTAGCACCTTTGCACTTGGTTGTCGAAGGTGTAGGAACTCTTTAAGGCATAGGAATATTTAAAAGTTGTAACTTAGGCATCATTAGGTGGTTCTTAGGTGGTAATTAAGTGGTTATTAAGTAGGAATTAATTTGTGAGAATTGTGTTAGTTTAGTTACTATAACGAAGCTGTAGTTTGTCTTTCTTTCACATTTCAGCGCATAGTTTTGCACGTTTTGTGCAATTTAGGCACATTATTCTTTCTTCACACATGGTCTTTTGCATTGTCTCGACGGTGCGGTTATTTTAATAACCAAGTTAGATCCTGTTTCATGTGAAACTAAAGCAGCTCTATAAAACAAAGGTTTTGGAACATCGAATATAAGTATTTTTATTTTATTAGTCGTAATCCCTTTCCTTTCATTATTCCAATATGCCACGTACATGGTCATCTACTGAAGCTGACCAATTTTGGTCACTGCGGAAAATGAGTTGTGTCTTAAGAGACACGTTTCAAGTAGGAACACCGGAAGGAGAAGAAGGTGAATTAACTGAACGACACAACAGGGATGAAGAACAGCGTGTACAATTTCAAACGGAATATGCCGATTATTTGTCTAGAGAGACGACTGAAAATGCTGAACGCAGCATAACCATAGCCAATGATTTACATTTCTGGGCAGTATACAGATCATGGACTTTTTGCCAAGATTGTGGCAGTATTGATAAGATTAAATTGATGCCTAGTTTTGAAAGCAAATTGCCTGTAAAATGGAATAAGAATTGTCATTGTAAAGACGTCAGATACATAGTCCCGTGCATTGAGAACATTCCAGAATGCTTGAAAAATCTAACATATGCAGATATTATAACTTTGAGACCTGTACAAATGCATGTTGGTGACTACAAACGTTTGCAGCACGGTTATCGACAGAAAACTAACATGTGCAGAGTGACATGGTCGAACTTGTCACCAGAAGAAAAAATATCTGAAATAAGTGAAGACGATCTTCGCACAAAATTATATAATGTGTATAATTTTTTAATGTCGTATAAAGAAAGCGCATATGCTTCTTTTGTAAAGAAGCGATACAGGTCTATATCAACAGAGAAAAAATTGAATATGTACATATCAGAAAATTCCGAAGGAATTGAATGTGCACTTTGGCCACATCTTTATCCGAAACGGTCGTGGTGTGAAACCTTGATAAAGGGTAACACATCACGTCTCAGTTTGAAAGTTGCATTTTTTATTAAAGTCTTCTCTAGTATAGTTGACTATGCAATGGACTATGAATTACTTCAATTCCATTACGACTTGTGGTTATTTAAAACTGTGAGTGGGGCCATATCTACCGCGAGAAAGCTGCATTGCTCACCTGCTAGGGCTTTGAATGCCAAGACATTCTCTCCCGGCTATTGGAAAATGCAACACCGACTTTTACAAGATGCTGTTGATCAGCATGGTTATCCTTCTTTATTCCTTACAATTTCACCATATGAGTGGACATTTCCAATGGCCCACTGGATTAACAATATAGCAAATGCGTCTGGCAAAGGGCCAACTCATTTGCCTGCATATGAAACTATACATATTGCGCACGTATTGGAACAAATGTTACGTGGATACCTGTGCGGTTCAAACACAAACAAATGGAGCAAGCACATCTTCAATTATAACAACATCAAAAACTTCTCTAATGTGAAAACGTATTTTTATCGTTTCGAATTCCAGCAACGAGGAACAGTTCACGTGCACTTACTTGTGTGGTTAAAAAACGTGAAAAACATACAACACAATCTCATCAGGGCAGATATACCTTGGGAAAACCCAGAATTAGCATTCCTTGTTTACAAGCTGCAACGGTCTGACAAAGATGCTCTTGCGTGCAATGAAACTGCGACAAAATTTGTTAACATAAATGGGAACGACGTTCTACAACTTTACCACCCACAAGAGGCATTTGCTATAAACTTGCGCTGTTATCTTTCCTCAGTTGTTCCCGCTCTTCGTTGTCGTATGGATTTACAATTTAGCGATGGAAACGATATGTTACTGCGGTATGTTTCGTCATACGTTTCCAAAACCAGCGATGCTTATTCAAACGAAAAATTATTTGTCAGATCTACTTCGCCATACCAGGCTGCCTACAGACATATAAAAGAGATGAACGTGTGCGAGCCGGAAATGTGGCTTTATATGTCATCAGTGAAACTTTCTTGGACAAACAGTAGAACAAAGGAGTACTGTCCACCTTTAAGTGAAGAAATGTGCGACAACTCGATACACAAGAAATACTTGAAACGTCCTAAGAACGCTGAACACCTTTCTTTCTTGCAATGGCTTCGCAATTACCAACACACATGTGTTAATCCAAAGCCATATAAAGGTGGGAATACACTTGTTTCCATTCGCTATGCAAGTCCTTTTCGTGACGAATTCTTTTTCCAGGATTTGTTAATGAATTGTCCACATACATCACTATCAGACTTGTTTATTCCAAACTACGAACAATTGCCGGAACAATTTCGTTATTTCTCTTGCGCTGTCATTAATCGCGTTTCCGAATGGGGAGATTTGAATTCTGCTAGAGTACATTTTGAAAGACTCGGGCACAGAGATTACTACATTAACAATTTGTTGTCTCACATTGCAAGCCTACACGCTATGCTCAAACTATGGGACAGAGCGGTACTTAACCGAAGCAATTTTATTCCAAATATTAATCCAGTAAGCATACACAAACTTGATCAACACCAGACAGCCATATTTCAGCAGATTGTCCAAGCTATGACAAACCGCAATGAACACTATTCTTCTATTGACGATTTCGGAGATGTAAGTGACGACGAAGACATAGATCTATTTGCACAAAGCAGTGATGCACCTGAACAGCAGACAAAGTTAGAGTGTATTCCATTTACTGTTGTTGATTGGAAAAAGTTTCTTTTAATAACTGGTGAAGCGGGAACAGGAAAATCTCAAATAATTTTTCGAAGTATCGAATGGGCTCTCGAGAACGATCTAAAAGTTCTGATTGCTACACCTACAGCATTATTGGCAATAAGGTATGAAAACAGCTTTGGTGAAGACGTCTCATCAGAGACGATACACTCAACATTTTCCTACCCCGTAGATGCAAACAAAAAGCCAACAATAAACTGGAATTTATCGTGTTATGACTTTATATTCGTGGACGAGGTATCCATGATTACCCGCCGCATATTGCAACATGTTGTAGCAACTATATCGCAAGTTGCCATACGCCCGGTCGTAGTTATGTGTGGTGATTGTCAGCAACAACAACCCATAGAGACTGTAGAAGGTGTTACATGCACAACCCCATCCGCTCTTTTAGATAAAACATTTTACCACTTGGTGCACCATTATAAGTTGACCGTTCAATATAGAGTTGTTGATCCTCACTACAATTCTTTCTTGCAACATATCCGTTATTGGCAACCTACACAACGTCTTCTTGATTACATTCAAAACGGACGTATTTTGTGTGAAAATGATTACCCAAGTGATGAAGAAATTATGAACGCAGTTAGCGGACATGCTGACGCAACTGTACTAACTATATCTAGGAAAGCAGCTATGAAAGTAAACGCAATTGTCACTGCCTATCTTTTTTCTGAAACAAATCCTTTAGCTTCGGTTCAATGTGATGACAATCAAGGACCTATTCCAATTTACCGTGGTATGCGACTTATGATTACTCAAAATCGAGACAAACGTCATGGCGTTGTAAATGGTCAGGAAGGAACAATTTTTTTAATGGAAAATAAAACAATTTTCATAAAATTGAGAAACGAAGGTGTAGTAGCTGTGTATTTGATTACGTACATTCATCCGGAGAGAGGCAAAACAACTTGTTATCCCTTCGTACCATCCTATGCACTTACTATGACAAAGTCCCAAGGGCAAAATTTGAAAAAGATACTCCTCTGGTTTGATTCACCAAAGTGTGCACCAGGATGTGCATACATGGCTTTGTCGAGGGTGAGCAAAGCCGAAGATCTATACTTGTTAACAGCAATGAAAAGAGCTCAAGTAATACCAGTAACAAGTGAGAATATGATGCACATTGAAAATTAACGTTAAAATGCATTCTAATTCCCTTCACTTTTTCGATTGGGGAGAAGAGCATGTAGTTCGACCTAGTTTGAAAATTCATGTAGGGAGTGCCTTGTCTCTGCCTTGGACATGACTTTGCTTTCAAGGTCGTCCTCAATTTCCTTGAACAGTCAGAATAGTGTAATATAGTATTTCCAGTAAAAGTCAACAACTTCCATTGAAGCCATGTTTAGGGCACCACAGGTCAGCTACTATTAGGCAATGGCAACTGATATAAATATACAAAATACAACACCTCCCGATTATTACGAAGCAATCTCAAATTGAGCTAACAATGCCAAAACAGATGCGTCTAGCGTCCGAAAAAACTCGAAAAATCGCAAAATTTCCATTATTCCAAGGGTAATATTTTCTTCCAAGCAGGAGAAATACCTTTAATCTCCAACTATATTAGAGATAGGAACCTTCTCCACATATATACAAAGTACCAACTTATCATCCTATATGCGAAATATTTTTCAGATTTTTAAATCCAAGATTTGTGTGATATAGTATTTGCAGTAAAAGTCAACAACTTCCGTTGAAGCCATGTTTAGGGAACCACAAGTCAGCTAATATTAGGGAATGGCGACTGATATAATTGTAGAAAATACAACAGCTCCCGATCATTAAGAAGCAATCCCAAAATCAACTAACAAGGCAAAAATAGGTGCGCCTAGCGTCCGAAAAATTTGGAAAAATTGCAAAATTTCCATTATTTCAAGGCTAATATTTTCTTTCAAACAGCAGATATACCTTCAATCTGCCAATATATAATCGATAGGACCCTCGTTTACCTAAGTACGAAGTATCAATGTAACTGACGAGTTGTGGAATTTTTTATAGATTTTCAAATTTCAAAAAATGAAAATGAGGGAAAAAATTGACTTCTCCGGAGCATATTCAGACCGACCTCAACCATTATCTATTCAAGCAATGGCTACCAAACTTACTCATATAAGACATAAAGTGCCTGTCTATAAAACCCACTACGAGTATAATAGCTGTAGTAAATAACGGCTAGGAAATGCCAAAACAAAATGACAACTTTTATTAAGCATGCGCGGAGCAATTTTCGAAACATCGTAACTCCACCCCGTTGAATTACAATCGACTAATTTTTTTTGTCAGTTCATCCTTCATCCATAGCTACCTTCTGAGCAAAAAAAAACAGCAGGTTTGTAATCTTCAAAAAAGTTACTATTAGTATAAATGAAATTGAGAACTGAACGTTCATTGTGATTACTATATTGACATCATATAATTAATGAGCATACTTATGTCATATTTCATCAAGTGTACGTCATAATGAAATAACTGGCTTGTGGCAGCCAAGCGTTCATAGCGACGTTGCTTTTTGATCCTTCGATGTCGGCTCTTCCTATCATTGCGAAGCAGAATTCGCCAAGCGTCGGATTGTTCACCCGCCAATAGGGAACGTGAGCTGGGTTTAGACCGTCGTGAGACAGGTTAGTTTTACCCTACTGTTGAATGGTTGTTGCAATAGTAATTCTGCTCAGTACGAGAGGAACCGCAGATTCAGACAATTGGCTCATGCACTTGCCTGAAAAGACAATGGTGCGAAGCTACCATCTGTTGGATTATGATTGAACGCCTCTAAATCAGAATCCGTGCTAGAACGCAACGATTCCTTTCTCTGGACGACTTACGCGAACAAGAATAGTGGCGCGACTCGTCGTGCCTCCTGTGTCACAACGTGCCCATGGAGCAGACTATGCACCTAAGCACTACAGCGACCAAAATCTAAATTTTCCAGAGCTAAATCCTTTGCAGACGACTTAAATAAAGAACGGGGTATTGTAAGCAGTAGAGTAGCCTTGTTGCTACGATCTGCTGAGATTAAGCGCTTGTTCTAAGATTTG